CTTTATATAAAAGTAGCTGAACAGTGATCAGCTCCTCTTTCAAAATAAAAGTAGCTCAAGGCCTCCAACATGGCGGCTGCCGGGTCTGGGTCACTTTCATTCAGCCACAAACTCTTCAGAGTTAACGGAGGTTGAAGCAGAACGACACACAGAACGCTTGTTGTCTGAGTCAAGACGAAAGAGGTGGAGGCGAGCGAGGAAAGAGGAAGTGGCTCCTCAGTGAAGTGTGTGTTTGCACTTGTTGTTCCATCTTTGTGAGGACACAGAAGGACATGACAATGTGCGTGTCCTTATACGGTGAAACAGACAGACGTGGAGTTGTGCGTCTGCTGCAGCGCCTCAAGTAACAACACAGATTGTGACTCATCAGCACGAAAAACCTGTTGCTCGGAGCTGCTCAGTTTATTCATGAAGGTCATTTTCTGCATCTTTTCATCACCTGAGCTGAAAAATGAAACTTGTAGTCGTTAAAACTGAGCAGACGATCCATCAGAGCAGAGTCAGTATCAACTTGTGCTTTCACATTCTCATGTCGTCATCACGAACCACTGTTCTGAAGTACTTCTCTTACAAACAATACTTTTCTGGAGTGAAAGGTGAAAGTTATGTTCTTTATTCTCTCGTTCTGACTCGTCTGCTGCTGTAATCAACAAAGTTTATTGATCTCATCTTATAAACGACAGGAAGTAAAAAAGTTGTAACAAAGCAACTAGAATCATGGTCTCCACCAATCAGAGCGGCTTCAGTCTATAAATATTAGTTTCAGTCTCATGTGAGATCCTTTACCTCTGAAATCTACTCGGTCATTGTGAGTCAAACTGAAAACACGCCTCCTGAGTCCACGGAACACGCAGCAGAGACGTGAAACAGTCGTGATGAGAGTCAAAGGACAGGAAGTGAAGTTTCAGGAGTCGACGTTTTATTCACAAAGACAAAGAGACAGTTTATTTATTTATTGATCCTCCACCAGTAGACCTGTTACCATGGTTACTGATCATTCCCTGATGCTGTGTATCGTTAGGAGGGGGCGGGGTCACAATTCTACAAATAAGACTTGTCGGTAATTTTATTAAACATCACGAAACCATGAGTGAGCTGAATTCAGTTTACATTCTTTTCTTTACAAAAAGAATTTCCATTTTAAATAGAGTGTGTGTGTGTGTGTGTGTGTGTGT